CATGTGCCAATGAAGATGCAGTTCCTTGAAGACCTGTATTTGTTGAAGGGGATCTGATACCCTGGACAGTCAGTCGCAAGGTACTCCGAGCCTTCCATGTATAATCTGGCAGTTCTGCTCTTGAGCTTGTATGCAGATTAGGTCCTAAGCAGAACCACAGGAGAGTTAGCAGGGATGTTCCCTGGTGGAAAGGTGTTAGAGACCACTTAGCTGCCAGCTGAGAGAGCAGAGAAAATACTTTGTCAGATCATTCAGCAATGAGACACTTCTGAAGCCAGAGGGTGGGAGCCCTCTCCACCAGTAGTTCTCCAGCAGACACCAAGTGAGCATCCTGTGCTTTGGAAATGGTATTAGGTTAAGAGCTCAGTTCTGGGACTGGAGAGATGACTCAGCAATTAAGAGCATTAGCTGCTCTTGCAGAGGATCTGGGTTCAATTCCCAGCACCCACATGGCAGCTAATCACCATCTTAACTCCAGTTCCAGGGAATCCAACACCCTCTTCTGACCCCCAAGGGTATTGCATGACAGGGATGCACTTAGATATATTTAGTCAATACACTCAAACACATAATAAATCATAATAAATCGATTTTTTTTTAAAGAGCTCAATTCCACAAGACCGCCCTTCATTTTAGATGCCAGTCCCAAGAGAAGGTTGGTATTTATATTTCTTTTCTTTGTTTTTTTTTTTTTTTTTTTGTTAAATTCATTTACCCTTTCACAAGTTCATGCTTATACATAATTTAGCCTGATTGCATCCCCCACTGTATTCTACAACAGAGATCCCTGCATCTGCCTCCCAAGTGCTGGGAATAAAGGTGTGCGCCACCACGCCGGGCCCTTATTTATTATTTTTATTTTACGTGTATGTGTGTATTCCCTGCATGTAGGTAAGTGCACCTGTGTTGTGCAATGCCTGTGGAGGACAGAAGAGACTGTCACATCCCCTGGGACTGGAGTTACAGACAGTTGTTAGCTGCCATGTGGGTGCTGGGATTCGAACCCGGGTCTTATGCAAGAACAGCCAGTGTTCTTAACTGCTGAGCCATCTCTCCAGCCCGATATCTATATTTCTAATCATCCAGCTATGAATTGGTTTGATTAGCTTACTGGATCACATCTTTGTGAATTTTCCTCACGAATCTGTTACAAAATGTATCATTCTAGTAATACACATCTTGAAAGAATCTCTAGTATACATCCAGTATGAAAACCAAACTCTTGACACTCATGTTATTGGTCAAAGGTCTGACAGATCTTTGGGGATGACACTTACTTTCTGACGGTGCCTCTATTCTGGTACTTCAGGATGGATTCCCATCAAGTATCATGTTGTGGAATACTACATTAACTTAGTATTATGACAGTCTGATTTATTCTTCTTCTTCTTCTTCAACTTTACAGAGACTGTGCAGTTGATCCTACTTGTGTCTTATGCATGGAGTGCTTTTTGGGAAGTATTCACAGAGACCATCGATATAGGGTTAGTAACGTTCAAACAACAACCATACATAGTATTGAATTTTATACTTGGTACTTTTTCTTTGATTTTAAAACCTAAAGACTTAACACTAAAAAAGGGAGAGAATGGTTTTCAAAATGTGTTGTCAGTAGAGCATTTGCTTAGCATTGACAAGGCCCTGGGTTCCATCCCTGGCATCCTTTTTGAAAAAAGGAAAACGTTCAGGTGTTCATTCAACATGTGATAGTGTTATAGAAAGGAATGACCAGTCCGTGGTTCAGAACACAAAGATTAAGAATGCTAGCATGGGAACCAGCCCTTCTGTGTTGACTTTCAGCTGGTTGGTTTGGTATTTTGAGACATTTACTGCAGAGGCTCCTGCTGTAGTGAGACAGGACCCGACTCCAGCA